AGAGAGAGAGAGAGAGAGAGAGAGAGAGAGAGAGAGAGAGAGAGAGATACACTTGGGCGTATGTGTTTAGGGAAGAACTAGAAAGTTAAATGCAAACAGCATCTGCTCAGTAAATGACAGCTGAATCCAAGTTCAATACCTTAAAGTTAGCAGGGCTGCTTAGAACCTGTCATGACTCCCAAACCACACCTGCCTGTCTCAGCAATCAATTAGAAAGAGAAACAGTTTATTTATGGAATCTGGGTCACCCCATCTGGCTCTTTTTGAGACTTACCTCATCACTTTTCAGTTGCTATGATTTTTCTGACTTCTTCATTTTTAAAGTAAAAAGACTACACATTTTATATCTTCATTTAAGACTTCACATATTTATATCTCACCTCTAACCCCACTCAGGTATGTATTGTAATTTGCCCTTAAATAAAGCCCCCAAATCTGAAGTTTATTTGACTTCTTATAAGTGATGACTATCTTCTAGTTTGCCTATCTTTTGATTGTCCTTAATCTTTTAAGAAAGTGTAATTTTTTTTTTATCCAAATGTGGTGATTTTCTATAGGAGACTAGTTAAAAAGGATTTTCTTAACCTTTATCAGAAAGCTAATGAATAGTGAACTGGGAGATGGAGAAACTCAGTAATTGCCATAGAACTACAGATTTAACCACTATAAGCCTTCAGCTGTTGGATTTGAACATAGACAGCTGGATAATGGAGAAGACAGGCAGTAAAGTCATTCAAAGCTTGTTGGACAAAGTCCAGGGTGTGGCCACCCATATTTGGTTCACATGCATATTTATTATTGCAATTACATTACTCCTAAACTTAGTGTCCTGAAGCAACAATCATTTTATTATCTCACAATTTCTGTGGGCTAGAGTTTTTAGGGGAGACTTAGCTTGCCAAGTCTGTATTGAAGTCTCTGATGAAGCTGTAGTCACTTCTGCTATGGCAGTTATCTGAAGACTTGGCAGGGCTAGGGGATCGACTTCCATGGGGGCTATCACATGACTGGATTTGGAAGGTACCTCTGGTCTTGCCCATGTGGACTTCATTATAAAGTACTGTGTTATTCTCAGAATATGACAGTTGGTTTCTTCTAGTGGGAATGACCCAGGTGATCGAAATAGAGAGAGGCTTTCCATGAACAAGGAAAGAGTTACAGATTACAAGAGAATGTGTAAATTTGGGATGGACTTGCTATTATCTTTCAACAGAGCCTTTGACAGTTGAAAAGAATACCTCCTAATCCTTCACAAACAGTGCCACTCCCTAGTGACTAAGCATGCAAATATATGAGCCTATGGGCTATTCCTTTTATTGTTGTTGTTATTATTTTCTTGTACATTCTTACCTTAGATTCCCCTCCCTCTACTCTTCTCCCTGAGGACCATTCCTCTTCCACTTTCATAAAAACAGAGAAGACCTCACAGGGATTTCAACTGAATATGACATTATATGTTATAATAAGATTAGATATAAATCCTCATAACAAAGCTGGATAAAGCAACTCAGTGGGAGGAAATGACTTCCAAGCTAAAAAAAAAAAAAGATTCAGATTGTTACCGTCTGACATTAACACTGTTGGGAATCCCACATGAACAGTAAGTTACACAAAAATACATATACAGAGGACCTAGGTCAGTCTCATACAACTTTCATGCTTCAGACTCTGTGAAGCCTTATGAGCCCTTCATACTTGATTCTGTGTTCTGTGCTTTCCATGATGTCTTGGAACCCACTGGCTCCTACAGTCCTTCCTCCTCCTCTTCTGCAGGGTTCTTCTGGCTCCACCTAGTGCTTGGCCATGGGTCTCTGCAGCTGCTCCCATCACTTATGGATGATGCCTCTCTGATGACAATTGGGCTAGACACTGATCTATGATAGGAGAATATCATTAGAAATCATTTCAATGACTGCTTTTTCTAAGTAGCAGTATTTTAATTAAAATAAGCAGGTATTTTTGATGATTTAATACCTTAACCATTCATTTTGTGTGAAAATTGTTATTTTTGTTTCCAAGTTCAAATTATGCTTATATAATTTCAGCTTTTGGACCCTAAAGACTGTAAATATTTTCTCAATTAACATATTTTTATTTGTATTTTGAAAGTTTATTCTGGCATAATATTACTATAATGGATTGTCAATATTTTACCTTTTCCAGTACTGGCCCTTATTTTCTGATAACACATACTTTACATTCACCAATGATTCTCAAGTTTTAGAATCACTAAGAGGGAGTTTTTTATTCATTTATATCTTAATCACTGAGCCCCGACACCAGTTCTTACCTCACAAAGTTCATCCCCGCATTTTCCCATCCTCTTCTCCTCTGACAGGGTGGATCCTCCCACACACTGTTTATCCCCCACCCTGACACATCAAGTCTCTGCAAGGCTAGGCAGATTCTTTCTCACTGAGGTCAGACAAGACAGCCCAATTAGGGGAAGATATTCCACAGACAGGCAACAGCTTTATGGACAGTATCCACTCCAGTTGTTGGGAGACCTAAATGGAGACTGAGCTGCTCAAACCCATGTAAGCGCTTTGGTTGGTGGTTCATTTTCTGAGAGCTGCCATGGGCCCAGGTGAGTTCACTCTGTGTGTTTTCCTGTAGGGTTCTTATCCACTTCAAGGCCCTCAATCCTTCCCCCAACTCTTCCATAAGAGTCCCTGACAGCCATCCAATGTTTGGCCATGGATCTCTGCATCTGTTTCAGTCAGCTGCTGGGTGGAGCCTTGCAGAGGAAAGTTATGCGAATCTTCTACCTCAAAGCATAACTGAGTATCATTAATAGTGTCAGGAATTGGTACTTGCCCATGGGATGTGTCTCAAGTTGGGCCAGTTGATGGTTGGACATTCTCTCAGTTTCTGGTCCACCTTTGTCCCTGCATTTTTTTGAGACAAGATAAATTTTGACTTGAAAATTTTATGGGGAGGTTGCTGTCCTTATTTCTCTAATGGAGTACCTGCCTGGATACAGGAGGTGTCTCTTAGGTTCGATATCCATACTGCAATGAGTCACCCCTACTGACTCCTGGGATTCTCCCCCATCCTAGATATCTGGTACATCCTCAAGATGTACCTCCACTGCATCCCCAACCTAACAAGCTGCAGATTTCCATTCATTCTTCTGGCCCTCTCTCCTTTCTCTCAACACATGATCCTGAACCTTGCTCCTGTTTACCTCCCTATCCCATCTCTCACTCAGTACCCTCCCTCCATTTGCCTCATATGAATATTTTATTCCCTCTTCTAAGTGAGATGGACAGTAACCTGGAATTGTAGGTCAAATCAATCTTTTTCTGTTGCTTTTTGTTGGGATAACTTCAACAGCAACGGAAACGAAACCAGAACCCAGGGGTAGCACTGGAAACATGCCAAAAAAGGACAGCCCTAAGTACAAGAAAAGGAGTGCTTCTGCTCCTTCATTCATCAATAGCTGATTAAAGGATCTGCATCAGCCCCAGGAAACTTCTCCTCCTATTGTATCATGGTTTTCTATGCCCCTAGACAAAGCTTTCTCTATTAGTAGGAATGTTCTCCATCTGTAAGACTGGAGGGCATGCAAAGTGGATGTGAAAACTATGAGGAGCCATATTTACTAGGAAATAAAGGTATAGCATGCTGGGCTGCAAGCAAAGGCACATGAAGGAAGCAATCTATTGCCAGGAAAAGAGGCAGGACTGATTAAAACTATACCACCAAGCAGTAGGAAATGATTGCAACCCTTACCACAGGTGTGGGAAAGAAGATGATACCATCTTCTGTGGTCTAAAAAGACAAGTCCACTCTCCATGGAGAAAAACAAAAACAAAACCAGACTTACCATTGCATTTTCAGGTGTAACTTAGACAAATAAAATCCAGACAAAATACAGAAAAAAACATCAATACTGTCTATTAAAGAGTAAGCATTGAAAGGAAATCTTGACTTGGCTAAATGTAAGTGCTTTGGTAGGTTTAAATACAAGTCTACATTTGCTTAAGAAA